TCTAGGTGCATTCAGTCCACAGGCCGACGCTCTATCCACTGAGCCAAACTGGTTTCAGCCCAAATAGAGAATTTTAAACTCATGATGAAATTAATACAGAATCAGAGCAGTTTACAGTCTGTACAATTAATATTTTATCACTTCAAGTAAAATGTAGAAACTCTACAACTCTAGATCCTTTTGTCCTCCTTTTATAGTATAGTTGAGGGGTCCTTAAACTACAGCCCGCAGGCCACATGCAAATACAATAATGTATTTGTTCCCGTTTTGTTTTTTTACTTCAAAATAAGATATGTGCAGTGTGCATAGGAATTTGTTCATAGTTTTTTTTTAAACTATAGTCCGGCCCTCCAACGGTCTGAGGGACAGTGAACTGGGTCCCTGTTTAAAAAGTTTGAGGACCCCTAGTATAGTTGTTATATGAACTATGTCCATATGGTACATTGAAAACCTGACCAGATACTGTTACAGTTTTTGCTCTCAATAACATATATTTAAAAGAACTTAATGTTTCTCTTTCATTCCTTAAGTTTTCCTCTGCTATTATTTCCCTTCAGCCTAAATACTTCCTTGAGCATTTCTCAGAGCACAGGTGTGCCAACAGTTCTCTTCATTTCCTTCATCTGAGAATAGTCTTTACTTTGCCTTCATCCCTGTGTATATTTTCCTCTAGAGCAGCGGTTCTCAACCTGTGGGTCGCGACACCTTTGGCGGTCGAACGACCCTTTCACAGGGGTCGCCTAAGACCATCCTGCATATCAGATATTTACATGACGATTCTTAATAGTAGCAACATGACAGTTATGAAGTAGCAACGAAAATAATGTTATGGTTGGGTCACAACATGAGGAACTGTATTTAAAGGGCCAGAAGGTTGAGGACCACCGCTCTAGATGTAGTTATTTTCTTTCGGCACTTGGCTGCTTGTGTTTTGTTTTGTTTTTATAGTAGCCGTCCTGATGGGTGTGAAGTGGTATCTCGTGGTTTGGATTTGCACTTCCCTGATGATTAGCAGTGTTGAGCATCTTTTCATCTCTTGTTGGCTGTTTATATATCTTCAGAGAAATGTCTACAAAGTCCTTTGCCCATTTTTATATTTTTTTATTGGGTTCTGAGAATTCTTTTTGTATTCTTGATATGAATTCCTTATGAGATATGATTTGCATTATTTTCTCCCATTCTGTGGGTTGCCTTTTGATTTCAGAGAGGCAGGGAGAGGGAGTGGGAGATAGAAACATCAATGAAGAGAGAGAATCATTGATTGGCTGCCTTCTGCGTGCCTCCTACTGGGGTTCAAGCCCACAACCTAGGCTTGTGCCCTGACTGGGATCTGAACAGTGACCTGGTTCATAGGTCAACGCTCAACCACTGAGCCACCATGGCCAGGCCTGTGAGTTGCCTTTTTACTCTGTTGATAGTGTCCTTTGATGCACAAAAGCTTTTACTTTCTTCCCTAACATAGAGTATAGTTTGTCTTTTGTTTGTTGCCTTTGCTTTTGGTGTCATATCCAGGAACTCATTGCCAAATCCACTGTCAGGAAGCTCATGCCTTATGTTTTCTACCAAGAGTTTTATAGTCTTAGCTCTTAAATTATCTATTTGATCAATTTTGAGTTAATTTATTAATTGGTTTGAGAGAGACAGAAAGACATCAATTTTTGTTCCTCCACTTATTTATGCATTCATTGGTTGATTCTTGTACGCGCCCTGACTGGACAATTATCCACCAGGAGGTATGGTCCCTTTGTCTTATCTATCATTAGTAGTTCAGCTATACTATTAAACCAACTGAACTACCTCGCCAGGGCTGAGTTAATTTTTAAATACTAGCGGCCCGGCGCACGAAATTCGTGCACAGGTACAGTCCCTAGGCCTGGCCTGCGATCAGGGCCATCTTCCCAGGCTGCCGGCAGCTGGCCCCACCCCCTGCCGCCACCCACCCGCAGTTCCCCATTCACCCTCGGAGGGTCCAAGAGGTTGGCCGTTCCTGCCTACTTGCCAGCCCTGCCGCCGGTGGCCCTCTGTGTGTGGGACACCCAGTGGGGCGGGGGCCTTAGCCTGGCGCCACCCACATCCACCACCACCCACCCCTGGTTCCTCCTTCCCCATCCGGCAATCAGACCCTGCCAGCCGGGGGCAGCTCCTGCATTGAGTGTCTGCCCCCTGGTGGTCAGTGCACATCATAGCAACTGGTCGTTCCCGCTGTTCGGTCAATTTGCATATTGGCCTTTTATTGTATAGGATGGTGCTAAACAAGGGTTCAGCTTCATTCTT